TCTAGTGGTATGCTAATAAACCCGCTCTCTGAATAAAACAAAAAACCCCAATTCACGGTGTCTCGTAACTTCCATGGTATAAATACTCCTACCATGGCCAATCCAAGCTACCAATAGTTTAATAATCTACTCTGGAAATCCTGACTATTTAACAATCCCTATCTAAGCTGAGCTGGCTCCAGTATACCATGGAATGTATTCATTAAAATGTAGTAGAAGCTGTTTGATACGTTAGGTGAAAAAAGTTTGTAACACGTCTGTATCATATTTCTGAGAAAAAAAAATACGCACATGGAAAAAACCAAACCAAAATAGTGTATTTTGTGTTAATACTAATTCTCTCTAAGTGATATAATTTTATCTTCAGTTATCTGTATTTTCAACTTTTTTCCCATTTATGTAAAATATTTCTCAGAAAAAAAAAACGAAGATTCTCTTTCTTAGTTGCAATAATTTAAAAATGAACTATTTCCCACAGCATGTCTCAAAAAAAAAAAAAAAAAAGGAAAAAGGAAAGAAAAATCCCTGGACCTGCTCAGTGAGATCAGCTGCACAATGAGAAGCCCCCAGGGTGAGAAGATTTCCAATACCTCATAACCAAGAAAAAGAGGGGAGAGGTACATCCTGCGGCTCCAGCCCCAGTGTTTGCTGATCTCCTGGGGAGGAGAAGTAAAGGCTGATTACTCACAGGTCCTGCAGAAAGGCAAGGTGGGAAGTGGGCCTGGAGATAACTCAGTCCCAGGACAAGAATTAGTCTGTTTATATAATTGGATCCTGAAAAGAGCTATTTCTTATCCCAGGACTCTTCCTAGGACCTTCCCACCAAACTCTTAACCATTACATTAAACTAATACTAATAGTTGTCAAGTTTAAGTCTTGTCTGCAATGAAACACGTTACAGTCATCAAAAATATCCTGGAAATGCATCCACAGGGAAAGATGTTCAGAAGATTAAATTAAAGCAAGTTATAAAAGCAGCATGTAAAAGATGAACCCGTTTAAGTAAAAAGGGATAAACATACAGAAAAGAATATAGTAAGTGATTAGGTAGTGGTTGTCCATAGATGGTTAGGTTTATGCTATTTTGGTCTTTTTGTCTGCCTAACTTTTGATTTTTATTCTGTAGTGAGGATAGTTATTTTTAAGAGTAATAAGGAGGCCAGGTGTGGTGGCTCACACCTGTAATGCCAACATTTTGGAGGGCTGAGGCAGGAGGATCGCTTGAACCCAGGAGTTAGAGACCAGCCTGGGCAATATGGGAAGACCCCATCTGGCAGGAGAATGTGTGTGTGTGTCGGGGGCTGGTGGGGGGGGGCGGGGGTAATGAGGAAAACAAAATAAAAGCAAAGTAATCTTAAGTGAGAAGAAAGATGCAACAACCTCCCTTACTGTATCTTCAGGCTGCTAAGCTTGTGGAAGACATAGACAATTCCTAATTCCTACTCCCTGCCACTCCCGTGAAAGTGAATAGCAAAGGGGCTTCTATAACTTCTCAAAGCAAGAATTCCCCAGGAACACAGGGAGCCTTCTGTTATGTAAAGCTTTTGCTGGAGCCGAGGAGAGGAGGCAGAAGGTTAAGGGAGGGTGGAGAGAGGAAAGAGAGAAAAGAAATCAAAAGGAAAAAGACGAGACTGAGAGGAAATCTACCTTTTCCCTCCAAGTCAGCAGCACTAAGTCAGTAGTCCTCAAACGTGAGCGTGTACCAGAACCACCTGGAGGGCTTGTTAAAACACAGACTGCTAGAGCCTAACCCTGAGTTTCAGGGTGGTGGCAGTCAATGGTGCCAGGGAATCTGCAATTCTAACATCTCCCCAGGTGACCACACTTTGAAAACTTCTGCTCTAAGTCATTCTCTGAGTAGACAAAGAAGAGTAGGAGCACTGCACAGACATGAGACTGAGATAAAAAATCGGTGGCAAACCAAGTGTTTGCAATTCTTTTAAACAACAAGGCTTGGTTTCCCATTTGGATAGGGGAAGATAGCATCCCTGTCTCCACAGGAGCAATATGAAGATTCTCATGGAAAGAGAGAAGAAACTGAGAATATCCTGACAGCTGATTATACACCAGATGCTGTAAAAGAAGAGATACAAGCTGGCAACTAATCCTGCCCTGGGAAGAGCAGATACCTGGAAACGTTTTAGGAAGTACTGCTTTGACCTAGCAGCAGAAGGGGTTTCCCTTCCCTTCAATTTGACAGTTTCCTTACTGTGGTCACCAGAAGGCCAAGAGGAATGTGGAACAACCTGTTTTAGTAACTCTAATCTTTGCTCTTTCACTTGGCAAAAGCCGCCTGGCAGCCTTCTGGTTGCCTCACAGGTGTAACCAGGGTTCCCCTCCTTCCAGGAACTGTAACACAGATAGTTCTGCCAGGAGCAAAAGATGCAAAAGACATGCTCTATTAGTCACTGACTAGAGCAGGCAGGGAGGCAAGCCACCCGTGGGCCTCACCTACAAGGGAGAGGGAAGACACTTGCAGAGCCTCAGTGAAACATCCAGCACTACGGGGGCTGGAATAATGGCCTGAGGGCAGCCGGTTATGATTATTATCTGGGCAAAAATAGTCTGAAGAAGAACCAGCAAAGCCTCAAACTTAAAAGATGTGCAATAGGCCGGGTGTGGTGGCTCACGCCTATAATCCAAGCACTTTGGAGGCCAAGGCGGGTGGATCACCTGAGGTTGGGAGTTCAAGACAAGCCTGACCAACATGGTGAAACCTTGTCTTAAAAAAAAAAAAAAAGAAAAGAAAAGATGTGCAATAAATATTGGCCAAAAAGAACAGAAAAATGTTTCTGATGAGATTGCTAGCCAAAGTTAAGGCACAGTCAAGAAAAAACAATTAGCGTTTTTTGGGTTTTTTTTGGATGATGTAGGTTCTCAGGATCCAAACTTCAAAAATCGGGTTGCTATTCTCTAGGTCTTGTACCTTGTGTTGCCTCTCAGAGAAGGATAACTAGGGGATGCATAGGCTTCTTGCCAGTAATGTTTTTCTTTTTTTCTTTTGAGATAGATTCTTGCTCTGTCACCCAGGCTGGAGTGTAGTGGCACAATTTTGGCTCATTGCAACTTCTGCCTCCTGGGTTCAAGTGATTCTCCTGCCTCAGTCTCCCCAGTAGTTGGGTTTACAGGCATGTACCATCAAGCCCAGCTAATTTTTATATTTTCAGTAGAAACAGGGTTTCACTGTGTTGGTGAGGCTGGTTTCGAACTCCCAACCTCAGGTGATCTGCCCACCTGGGCCTCTCAAAGTGCCAGGATTGCAGGCATAAGCCACTGCATCCGGCCTCTTGGTAGTATCTTCTGTTGAATCTCCTTTTATGTAACACAAATAAATTATAATACTAGAAGTGTTACGTGGTTTTTTTATTAAGTTTTTTTAAAAACAAAATTCCCACCATACATCTAGATCACAAGTTGTCTTCCCCAACAGTGACAAATCCACAGCACTGGGGCACCGTTGACAATGGTTTGAGCCATGGCCATTAAATTGCTTTGGAACTTACATTTACAGTGTTACCACTTAGTGGATCCACAGATATTTAGCTGCGAGTCCCCTGATGATGGGGTCTATGTCTAGTATTACAATTGCGGCTATGGTTAATAGCTGATCTTTTTTTAAAGCATTTTATATGCATGGCGTTGTGCAAGGCCCCTTACTTACATTGTCTTAACCAATCTTCACAACAGCACAATGGAGTAAACACCATTATGATTCCTTCTTGTCCACTCTCCCAAGCACGTAGCACAGGGCTGGCATGCAGTCAGCATAAATATTTGTCAAGTAAATTAAAACACTGTTACATAAAAAGTGATGTTCAAAGATGGAATGACTATGAAAGGGTAAGATTCAAGAACAGGGACATGGCTGGGCATGGTGGCTCACACCTGTAATCCCAGCACTCTGGGAGGCAGAGGTGAGAGGACTGCTTGTGTGTCCAGGAGTTCGAGAGCAGCTTGGGCAACACAGTGAGGCCTTGTCTCAAAAAAAGAAAAGGAAAGAACAAGGACAAAAAGAGGGGGGAAAGGGGACCTGAATTAAGTTCAACCAGAGAGAAAAACATGAATAGATATTAACAAAGAAAACATGTACAAGCTGCTCTGGGAGAGACAGATGTGATGATGGACTCTGCCTTCTTCAGTCTTGGGACAGAAGAGTCCCTTCAAACAGACCAGATAGGTTTAATTCCAAATGGCTCCAGGCGGTGCAGTCACTCCCAAGAACAGATCATTCCACAGTCAACACCCGATTTTCAGTTTGGGTACTATCTCTACCCTTCTCAGTTGGGTCAGTCCTGCCTCTCTGTTCAGAGGAAGACAAGTCACGTGCCCAGGAATGAAAAAGTTGAGAAAAGAGTATCAGAAAAGGATGCTAGTTCTGATCCGGCTACTAAGAGTTTAGATCTCCATTTTCTCCTGTATGAAAGGAGGAGGTGGAATTAAATGATTTCTGGTGTTCCTTCTGGCTATAGCTTTTCATGATTTAGTCCCTTCTGAAAGAGTACTCACTGAAAGAGGAGGAGCACTTCAAAAAGATGGGCAATTGCTTCTTGGCCTTTTGGCTAAGGTCAAGTGCAAAAAGATGGGCAATGTTTTTAGGGTAGAAGAGAACAGTATGAAGATTCTCAAAAGGAGTACCACAAAACAGAATATCGACAACACTACTCCAGAAGGTATACCCAGTGTTGCATGGGCTCAAGAGTAAAGTCCCCAACATTCAACTTGCTTTTTTTAAGTTATTTTGCATTAAAAAATGCAGACTCACAATTTGAATCTTTTTATCCCAAGGTAGGACTTACGAACCTATACCCTCTGGAACCACTGGGGCTATATGCCTGCAGGATTAGCAGTGATTGTTGGACATGCAGCTGTACCACAGGAGGGATATTCAGCTTCAGTCTCTGATCTCCACCTCACCCCACCACCATCAGACACTCCCATTTCTACCACGTTGTGGTTTGACTGGCAGTCAGTACTCTTATCGAGGTACTACTAATTGATACTGTATCTAGGTAATAAATTATACACCTATTACCATTCAGTAGATCAGAGAATAAGACATGGAAAGAGAAGCATAGGATTTGAGTTGAAAACAGTAAATATGCGTGCTACTTCTTCCCAGATTGAGTATATCCCTGGTTGATTCTGCTGAGACATTTAATTAAAAAAAAAAAAAAAGAAAAGAAAAAGTAATAGAGTACATTGCTGGGAAGCAAAGAAAACCAAGAGACATATGGCAAAAGCATACAGCAGGCCCTCTGTATCCACAGGTTCTACATCCTTGGGTTCACTAAACTCTGATAGAAAATATGTATTTGTGGGATGTGAAACCCATGGGCACAGAGGTCTGTCTGACTTTTCATATCTGAAGGTTCAGTAAGGCCAACTATGGAACTTGAGCATCCTTAGAGTTTGGTACCTGCAGGGGGTCCTGGAACCAATCCCCTGTGGTTACTGAGGGACAATTGTACATGCTAAATAGTCAATTCAGTTTTCACCATCATAATGGCACTTCCGAGGCCGGGCGTGGTGGCTCATGCCTGTAATCCCAGCACTTTGGGAGGCCGAGGCGGGTGGATCACTTGAGGTCAAGAGTTTGCAATCTGCCTGGCCAACATGGTGAAACCCCGTCTCTAAAAAAAATAAAAAAAACAAAACAAACAAAAAAACACACATAAAGGCACTTCCTAGAAGATGAAGAAATAAAAGGATACACATCAAGTTCCCAAGAACTTTATCCCTTGGATGGTGAATTTTTATTTTTGTTTTTAAACTACAGGCACATGTTACTACCCCCAGCTAATATTTTAATTTTTTGTAGAGATGGGGTCTCCCTATGTTGCTCAGGCTGGTCTTGATCTCCTGGGCTCATGGAATCCTCCTGCTTCAGCCTCCCAAAGTGCTGGGATTACACTGGATGGTGAATTAAAGTAAAAAAACTGTGAATGCCACAACGGTTTCTCTTTGAAGTTACCAACACCTTTCTAAAGGAACTTGGTGTCACAGTTTCACATACTAAACTCTGTTTATAAAATGGTCTATATTAATTTAAGGGCCAAGGAAGAGACATTTACATCAAGTCATAAAGTTGCTGGTGGGGAATTCTGGAATAAAATAGGATAAAAGAAAATTATATAGATAAAAATGACTTTGGATGCCCTGTGATTCCTCATGACATCAGAGTCAAGCAGGAAGCACTACCCATGTAAAGAAAGAATCATAGAAACTGATCCCTGAACCTCCCAGTGAAGTGATTCAGCTTGGGTAAGTCCCATCTCCTTCCTCTCTACCTCTGAGATGTTGAGGCGGCTGGACTTTCTTAGTCTAAATGTGACGATACAATGGCACATGGGCTTGGGATGCAAGGACACCGCCGATACAGCAACAAACAAGTAAAAATAAACCCCATGCATGCTGTGGGGAAGCAGAGGAGGATGGTAATCAGGAAAGGCTTTTAAAAGGGGACTTTTGTCCACATGCCTAAAATTAACTAAAGTTTACTAGAAACTTAAGTCTCGTGGCTGGGCATAGTGGCTGACGCCTGTAATCCCAGTGCTTTGGGAGGCTGAGGGGAGTGGATCATTTGAGGTCAGGAATTCAAGACCAGCCTGGATGACGAGGTGAAATCCCGTCTCTACTGAAAATACAAAAAATTAGCTGGGTGTGGTAGCGCACACCTGTAGTCCCAGCTACTCGGGAGGCCAAGGCATTAGAATTGCTTGAACCTGGGGGCAGATGTTGCAGTGAGCCAGTTGCCTCACTGCACTCTAGCCTTGGTGACAGAGGGAGACTCCATCTCAAAAAATAAAATAAAATAAAATAAGTCTTTAAAACTGGCTTCTACCAAGAAAGGTCAGAAAAATCTCTGGGCTCCTTGATCACAAATTTCAGTGCAATTCATATCTTAGTAATTTCCAGGTGATCTGAAATCCTTTCTAAACTGACCCACTTTTTCAGGCTTGAAGGACAGTCTAGGCAGTCAAAGCAATCCCAAAACTAACTCCCCACAGAGTGTGACATCAGTGATTTATCACCCCTTAGACACGTGCATGCCATTATCTTGCTTTAAGTTGTTTTTCACCTTCAAAACGACAGTTATAAATGCATTTGCCTTCTTTCTTCCTTCTCACCTGATATCTATTTCCCTTCTATCCTTGTTTTTCAGTTTTCCTGCCTTTCAACACCAGTTTCAAGGTAGGGAAGAAATATCTATCATCAAACCCTCTTGCTATACTCATACTCAATAGAATCAAAAAGGCTAAGTGCAGTGGTTCATGCCTGTAATCCCGGCACTTTGGGAGGCTGAGGCAGGAGGATCACTTGGGCACAGAAGTTTGAGGCCAGACTGGATAACATAGTGAGACCCTATCTCTACAAAAAATTAAAAATATTAGCCTGGTGTGGTGTCACATACCTATGGTCCCAGCTACTTGGGAGGCTAAGGTGGGAGCCGGGAGATCCAGGTTGCAGTGAACCATGATCACACCACTGCACTGCAGCCTGGGCAACAGAGTGAGACCCTGTCTCAAAAAAAAGTGGGGGGCAGAGGCGGAGGGAAAAACACAAGATAGTTGCTTTCCATACTCTTCCAAATCAAAAGTTCAGTGAAATTCATCCATATTCTCCTCAAATGTGATATTTAAAGACCACACAGGTACTTTATCTAAATCCCTGATTCTGACTCTAGTAATGACAATTACAACCACTCAGGATTCATCAGAGTAATTCCAGTGTAGTTCACTTAGCTTCAAGTCAAAAATAGCAAAAACATTCCACTTCCTCTTGGTTCTTTTACTTTTGTCCTTTCCTCAGACTTTAGAAGGAGGTATCCTTTAAATCCTGCATGACTAGAAGCCAGATGGTCAAGGCCCCTTGCCTTGGGAACCACAGCAGTGGGCTCTGAGTCATTGCCTCAGAGTAAAGCTACTCAAGCAGCAAGTTCTACAGCCAAGTTCTCCCTGAGAGAGAAGGGATAGAGACCAAACAACCAGCAGCCTTTATCTAAAAGGTGGAGTGTGGAGGCTGCCTTTCCATTGTATTTTCTCTAAGACCAGAGGAACTGGTTCAGCTGAAAAGGGAGGCAGTCAGTCCCTTGCCGTACACACCCTCCACTTGAGGCACAGCTTCAAGACTCTCCCCTCAGCCCTTCTGGGTGTTGCAATTGGGCAAACCTCTTCCCAAAGAGTCCGTGGGCTCTGGGCCTTGCACTCAGGCTCAACACAGACCTTATCTTTGCAATCTGCTTTCAAATTGATGCCTACAGGGTGAGTGGAGACTGTTTCTGGTTGAGGTGAGCCCAAGGGAGCCCCAGGGCATGCCCAACACCTCAGACGCAAGACCACCCAGCCTAGCCACAGTCAGGAGTTTTCTTGTAGAGTGGCTAACTCACCTCCCACACCATCGTCCCCTGATGAGCCCCCGTTTTTCACCTTCACACGTTTCAGATCTAGGGGAGTGAGGAGTAAAGCAGGAGATGGCTCCGGGTACCCACCTTGCCACCCTTCTTTCCCCTTTTAAACTGCTCTCATTGCTTGGACCTCTGACTGCCTCAGTCTTCAACTGAGGGTCACTGGCCTTCTTCAGCTCCGGCTCCTATGATAGCCACTCGCACACCTCCTCTCCTAGCCACAGAGCCAGCAGGCAACGCCTTCACAGACCCCAGGCAGGAGGCTCCCAGCAGGCCCTGGAGCCAGCTCCCCAGCCCCTTCCCTGCATCACAGCCAGAGGGGAAGTCAGGGCAATTCCCCAACAAAGCAAGGGCCAGCAAGACCCCCAGAGAGTTACCCTGCAGGGCAGCTGGGGCTGTCACACATCTGGACCCAAGAAGCCAGCTGCAGGGGCTTCAGATAAGCACCACCCCAGCCCCCACATTCCGTCTGACAGGAAGCGGACTCCCAAGAAATCCTGCAGAGAAACCCTTCGTGGGGAAAGCAGGACAGGCTTCGAGCAAACCCACCCACTCAGAGTCCCTTTGGCCATTTCCTGCTTCCTCTGCACTTCATTCCTCCTTTCTCTCAATTCCCAGCCTTGGTTTTGAATGTTTCTGAATCAGACTGAGGGGGTCCCTGGCCCCTCACATTCCTTATCCATCTGAATTCTGGTTTTTAGAGCTCAATACCACATGGTTCCAGGCTGTTCTAATTAAGTGCAGAGACTGAGACAATCTAATGCTAAGATTATGACCTTAATGGCTTGGAGGAAAAGTCCTTCAGATTTAATCAATTTTGGTAACCTTAAATCTGCTCCGGACAGAAAATTTCTCAGGGATATGTTGTGTGTTTGTGGCACAGAGGATTCGGTGAAGGGTGGCCTAGAGGAATTTTATTCACCAGCAACTCAGCCAGAAAGTTCCATCAGGATTTTACATAGATGAGGATGGGATGGGAGACTGGGGTATTGTAAATGGGGGTGGAGGCCAGAGCCCCAATAGGTGAAGGTTTCTAAAAGGGCAAATGTTAAGTAGAGGCTATATTCTCATTTTTACCCACACAAAAAAAGTCTTCCCCCACTCTCCTAGTGTGTGTTAAAGTGACATGAACAGCCTTAGGAGCATCTGCTTATTTTATTTGGGAAGGTTCTGATTTCTTTTTCAGGAGAAGCTACCCAATTGAGAACCCTCCCTCTGTGATCCTTCTCACCCTCAATTTGCCCGCTGCTCTGGGGGAAATTAGGTGCTTCCTGCAAGTCTCTTCTACAACATTAAGATTAGCAGAATAATTAAATACAGTCCTAATTGAGCACAGAGAGGGTTCTTGGTTAATTAATGAGCCACGCTCCTGCCCAGAGCTGCAAATCCACGCTGGTCTGTGAAAACCCAGGCTGAGAAAAAATGTGCTCCAGTCCCATAAGACAATTGTCACTTGGCAAAAATAGTTCCTGGTGTAGAGACATGTGTCAAACACATTCCTGTAGCCAGGAGTCACACCTTAATCCCGCAGCTGAGACCCACGTGTAAATGAGAAGTGAGGTACTTCTCCTCCACTACAGGGACACACAAGGCTCTGCGTCCCCTTCCCACCTCCGCGTCCGCACCCCACTCCCCAGCAGGCTGGCGCCCTGACATCCAAAGTCGCTGCTAAGTGACTTTCCAAACTGCAGCTCCGCATCCAAGTCAGAACCCCACCGCGAGCCAGCGACCGCGCGCGTTCTGCCTGGGAAACAGTGAAACAGATCATAGCAAACTCTCTCCTTCGCCGCCCTCCCGTCCCCGCCCCCATCCCCCTACCCCAGAGGCCTCCTCTGCCACCTTCCCTCGAGCTCAGCGCGACCAGTCTGGCTAAGAGAAGGCACCCAGGCCGCCGGCAGCCACTCACCTCTGCACGGGAAGCAACAGCAGCACTTAGCAAAGAGCCACCCCAGAGAGGGACCTCGGGTGTAAGCCCGGTCGCCGCCCTTCATGCTGCCCGGACGCCCCAGCGCCTCCGTGTGGCATGGGGCGTCAGCCCGGGGTGAGAGCGCGGTGGGAAGGAAACTTCAGCGCCGCAGCCGGAGAGCCGGCTCCCGCGCTAGCTCCTGCCCTCCCCGCTGTGTTCTCCCAGCACCGCGGCCTCAGCTCTGACTTATTGGGATCCACGGCCACCTTGGGAAGCGGGGAGGGGCCGGACGGGGAGGGAGGGCCTAAGGGGCGGAGTTCCAAGGTCCATTTGTGTGCAAGAGACGAGCCTTGTGCAACGCTGCCCGGCGCTGTGGGCACGGGACACACAGGTGGAGTTTGAGCCCCTGGCACCAAACAGGTACTCCTTATGAACAACTTCCTCCCCTCTAAGGCCACCACAATGGGCTTTGGCTTAAAAAATACAACCAGATGAAGCCAGAGAGGTGAGAGAGGGGCAGTCTTAGAAGGTGCAAGACTCAAGGATGCTCTTTCTTCCTCGCAGACTCACTCGTTCCCCGCCACACAGCCTCCTCTGTATTGAAAACACTGCCCCAGACCCTTCCTTTCCTTCCGCGTAATGCTGATTACTAATAATGATAACAGTGCCTCATCTTGATCTGCTCTCCAACTGTAATGATGTGAAAACACACTCTGGGTTTGGAATCAACAACCAATGATCAAAGTTCAGTTTTGCCGCCTGCTAGCTGTTTGACCTTAGGCAAATCACTTCATCTTTTATCTTCAGTTTCCCCGTTTAAAAAAAAAAAAAAAAAAAAGGTAAAAGAATTCCTATATTACACAGTTGTAGATTTTCTTTCTAAAAACTTTTAAAAAAAATAGAGACAGGGTCTTGCTATGCTGCCCCAGCTAGTCTTGAACTCCTGGGCTCAAGTGATCCTCCTGCCTTAGCCTTCCAAAGCATAAGGATTAGAGATGTGAGCCGCCACATACAGCCAATGGTAGAATTTTAAAATATCTGTGGATATCTGCCAGAGTTGCTGATTTAGTAGGTAGGAATTGGAGCCTGAGAATTTGCATTGCTACAAGTTCCCAGGTGGTGCTGATGTTGTTGGTACCCGACCACACTGAGACCTACTTGAGATTCGGACTTTTTCCTTGCCTATTTGGCATCTGTGTCCTTTTCTTTTTGTAACAGCACCTTGACTTGTCTTTGAGGAACCAGTCATCCTCCCTTCTCAGGGCATGTTTCTGAGTGTGGCTAACATCCTGCTTCAGAGGTGAAGTTTAATATTTCCAGGTGAATAATTGCCTACAGAGAAACTCTGAACATCTTACTTACGGTGCAGGACTTTCATTCACCATCCCCCCGCCAAATATGCCCAGTAGACCTATCATTCCTTTACTTGTATCCCTATCCCTATCTTTTAAACCTTTTCCATGTTTCAATGCCAAGCTTGCTTTCCACAACCCCCTTGAAGCCTACTTGGACCATATCAGTGGGACCTTTCCATGAACCACTGTATTACTCACAGGGTGTCTCTCCCATTCCTTTGTGTCCAGCTTCAGGGCAAAGGGCCTTCTGGAAACACACAGACTCATAAAGAAGGCCCATTCATCAGAAAAAAGGGAACTTTGTGGGAGGAATGAAAAATAGAAGCTTGATCACCCAGGTAACCAATGCCTTCCTGGAAAGAAACAGTCATGGGACAAGGCTTTTAAAAGTTACCAGGATTGGCTGGGCACGGCCGGGTGAGGTGGCTAACACTTGTAATCCCAGCACTTTGGGAGGCCGGGGCAGGCAGATCTCAAGGTCAGGAGGTCAGGACCAGCCTGTCCAATATGGTGAAACCCCGTTTCTACTAAAAAATACAAAAATTAACCAGCATGGTGGCACACGCCAGTAGTTACAGTTACTAGGGAGGCTGAGGCAGGAGAATCACTTGAACCTGGGAGGCACAGGTTGCGATGAGCCAAGATCGTGGCACTGTACTCCACCCTGGGCGACAGAGTGAGACTCCATCTCAAAAAAAAAAAAAAAAAAAGTTACCAGGATGTGGGGCTTTCTTTCCCATTTGGAACCATGCTTAGATTTGTGCTTTATTTATCTATGTGACAGCCAGGCATGATTGCTCATGCTTGTAATCCTAGCACTTTGGGAGGCCAAAGCAGATCACTTGAGCCCAGGAGTTCAAGACCAGCCTGAACAACACAGGGAGGCCCTATCTCTATAAATAATAAAAATACATAAATGAATAAATAAATGAGTGGGGCTTGGTGGACCATGCCTGTGGTCCCAGTTACTTGGGAGGCTGAGGTGGAAGGCTCACTTGAGTCCGGGGATGTCAAGCCTCCAGTGACTCATGATTGTGCCACTGAAATCCAGCTTGGGCAACAGAGACCCCATCGCCCCTAGCTTGCCCCCCACCCAAAAAATATGTGCCAAGGCAACTGCCACATGGTTGGGATACCAGTAAATGATTGAAGCATCACCTAATGAGTAACAATAGCTTACATTTATTGAGCATTTATATGCCAAGCAGTTTCCTCCATGTTCTCCATATATTATCTCATTTATCCTCTTAAAAAACCTTGTCAAGTAGGGTCCTCTTTTACCTTTGAAGAAACTGAATTGATGAACTATGATGAGGCTTTAATGGTTTAATTCTAAAGAGAAACTCTAAAAAGCTTCACCCCTTTGGAATAGCAGACCCTAAAGTCAAAAATCTACCCTCTAGTTCTACTACTGTCATTTCCCTGACGGTTTTCCCTGGCAAGGTAAGAATGTCACTGTCAAGCAGGAAATGTGCCTCTGGTGCTGTAACATATACAGAAACAGAAATAGCTCACGTTGGCTGGTGGCTCATGCCTGTAATCCCAGCACTTTGGGATGCCAAGATGGGTGGAGTGCCTGAGGGCAAGAGTTCAAGACCAGCCTGGCCAACATGGTGAAACCCTGTCTCTACTAAAAGTATAATAATCAGCTGGGCATTGTGGTGCACACCTGTAATCCCAGCTACTCAGGAGGCTGAGGCAGGAGAATTGCTTCAACCTGAAAGGTTGAGGTTGCAGTGAGCCAAGATTGTGGCACTGCACTCCAGCCTGGGCGATGGAGTGAGACTCCATCTCAAAAAAAAAAAAAAAAATTGCTCATGTTGCCTGCATCCAAGATTCCTGATTCACTGTTCATCCCCTGATGATTGGTCAGTCTCATCCTGGTCAGGCTGAATTACTGCAGGATCCTTAATCCTTACACAGTTAACCGAGGTTCCAGTTCTGACCCACAACAATGAGCACTATTATTTAGTTCTCTCTTCTGTATCACCAAAGACAATACCTATTTTGTCTTTCTTGAAAGCCCAGGCCAAAAATGTCCATAAAAATTAACTTTATTTGCTTGTGATCCATAGTATGGAGTCTAAGGGTCAATATTTGGTTTACCCACCAAATCCATCTCTGTTTACAATTTGAGGACATTATGATAGAAATTCAAAGATGCTTCAAAATTTCAAGGGGAATAACCAGTTTGTTTTTTACTGAAATCTTCCCTCTTTGTTTTTGTGTTCAGGTAACACTGTATCACTTTTTTGTCGCAAATCTTTGCAAGAGATTAATTACATATTATCTTGCAGAAACTGGCTTGAGTTAGATGTTTGAGGAAGACCCAACTCTTACTTTAGAAATCAGTACCAGTAGACCCTAAAGTAGTCTACTATATACAAAATGGATCCATTGGGCATGTTTCCACTGATACTTTTTTGTTTTTGCTTTTTTTTTGAGCAGAGATTCTGTCGCCCAGGCTGCAGTGCAGTGGCACGATCTTAGCTCACTGCAACCTCTGCCTCCTGGTTCAAGCAATTCTCCTGCCTCAGCCTCCCAAGTAGCTGGGATTACAGGTGCATGCCACCACACACAGCTAATTTTTGTATTTTAAGTAGACACTGGTTTTTACCATGTTGGCCAATCTGGTCTAGAACTCCTGGCCTCAAGTGATCCTCCTGTGTTGGCCTCCCAGAGTGCTGGGATTACAGGCGTGAGCCACCACACCCAGCCTCTATTAATTCTTATAATCCAGGAATCCACCTTACTCTCAATTTAAAGGCATAAAACCATTAGGAACCTCTTCCTATCTTAAGTTGGAAAGGTCAATACGTTTTTGGCCATCCTGGAGATTCATTCTGGGATAACTCAATAACCCAAGAGTCCCATTGCCATCCTCACATGCCTTCCACAATGAGACTAGCCAATGTCTACATTGGAAATCTTTTATTTCTTTTTGTTTCTTTTCTTTTCTTTCTTCTTTTTTTTTTTTTTTTTTTTTTTTTTTTAATGGAGACAGGGTTCTGCCATGTTCCCAGGACTGGTTTCAAACTCCTGGGCTCAAGCGATCTGCCCCCATCGGCTTCCCAAAGTGCTGAGATCACAGGTGTGAGCCACCACAACTGGCCATCAAGGAAATCTTGAACAACATGGGGACACTAACTGTTTGTGAACCTATTCATTAATTCATCAAATACCTATTGAGTATCTACTCTGTATCAGGCTCTGTTCTGGGTACTGGGTCTACACTGGTGAACAAAAACAATTTCAGTCCTTCTGAAGCTAGCTACTAACACAGACTCATCATGAATGTGAGAGAAAAGTGAATCCATAACAGATATGTGACCAAGTTTATGAGTTGAGAGGTTTAATAGAGGCCTAGATCCTCTAGCCTGCTGCTAGATGTTTTAACATTCTCAAGACAACTTAGAAGGGATGGTGGGGGATATGGTTTTAAAACATTGGTGCTGATGAGAATCAGGAGGGAAGCATTAAGCAATTTTAGGCACTAGCATTTTTTTTAGTTTCTGGGGTGGAAACAAGTTTGAGACCATTGCTGCCTGAGTCTCTCCTCCTCCCCACACACCCTGAGATTCAGATCAATTGACTTTGGGTGCAACAAAGCACCAGTATTTTAAAAGTTCCCCAGATGTTTGTAATATGCAGCATAGCTTGAAAACCACTGGTACAGTATGATGGCTCTCAAACTTAAGCATACACCAGAATCACCTGGAGGGT